CCCTCAGGCGCAGGACACCAGACACCCCCCTTGCACAGCAGTTCCCAGGCTCAAGGGCTGCTGCTGAGCCCAAGGGAGCGTGGCAGCTGCAGTCCACCCCCAGACAGAGTGGATCTGGGCAGCCCCCTCTGACAGAGGCCAGAGTCATGGAAAGCGGTGAGTTTGGAGACACCAGGGTAAGTGCACAGTGAGCCCTGAGAAAAGAGAGTGGCTAGAACCAGCCCCAGCACACAGTGGTGCTTAATAAGTGTCAGCACTCAGGAGAGGGCTGGGGTCATTGGGGCCAGAATGGGAGCCTTGAAGGAGGTGGTAGCACTGTCAGGACCACCCTCCCGCCTCTGCAGCACAGGGAGGAGAGGGTGACTGAGAGGCACGCATCTCTGTGGGAGTCAGTGGGAATCTGTGCCCAGACGGCCGCTCCGCAGGCTCTGTCCCATTCAACTGCAGCCCCCACCCCCATCACTCTCAAAGCTCCTGGTTCTTTCTTCCCCAGAACCTTCTATCACTAAGCGTATAGCCCACCCCTCCCCACATATCACAACCCATTCGAATGAATGTAGGCTTAAAGAAGGTAGATGTTTTTCAAGGACATCTTTCCAGCACCTAGAAACTTCCTGACATGTAGTAGATGCTCAATAAATATTATTGAGCGAGTGAACCACAAGGTAGGGAAGCTTGCCCTACAGGGTATCAGACCTATAATCAAGCTATAGAGATCAGGATGGTGAGGCACTGGCCAACAGGGCAGAACAGAGAGCCCGGAAGCAGCCCTGAGAGCAGATGGAAACCTGGCACATGACAGAGCTAAAGTGCACATCAGTGAACGGTGCCAGGGAGCTGGTTATGCACATTAAAAAAGTGAAATTGGATCCCTATCTTAAACCAAACACAAAGAAGATTGCTTCCAGATGGATAAGCACTCATGTGTGAAAAGCAAGACTTTGAATATCTTTACACATTTCAGCCTTGGAAGGATTGGTTAGGGCACGAAAGGGGAAATCATAAAGGGAAAAAGGTGGGTGAATTCCACTGAAATCCAATTAAGAACTTCATCAAAGACAAAAGGCAGGTCCCAAACTCGGAGAAAAAAACCTGCAACCCACACAGATGAGGCAGGGTCCCCACAGAGAAACCACCAGGAACTGGCTCAGGGGCCACGGGACACCCGCTCAAGGAGGCTAGAGGCTGGAGCAGGCCAAAGGGGGCTGGCATGGCCAGGAAGTGTGCAGGAAGACAGCACTTTCATTAATAACCAGGGAAACTAAAAATAAAACCACAGCGAGAGACCATGTTATACTCACCAGATCCACAGACAGGAATGGCCGGGAGTGGGTGGAGTGCAGTGTCCGTTCACACTGCCCCCCGCCGTGCCAGTGGGTGGGGGGTTCCAGTCTTCTTCAAACTCTACATGGATGGGGGAATGCACTATCTTGCATATATGACAACTTTTTAAGAAATAGAAAATTCCATTCTTCTGATCAAAGAAAAATGCGTTGAAAAATAGGATTCAGATCGCCAATCTCTGTAGATTTAAGGTATTTTATGTTCGGTTTTGCCTTTCCTTAAGGATGAGGATTATGTCTTGTTTATATATTTATTCTCAGTACTTGCTACATAATAGAGACACTGAAAAGAATGGAGAATAAATTCCCCCAAAAGCCAAGGATCTGAGGGGAGTGGAGGCTGGGACCCCACTGTCACCAGGTGTCTGAGGGGGCCTCTAACACGAGGGCAGATCTGGGTACCAAATGCTTGCAACATGGGTGGCTCCTGGGGATTGAGGGGGCTCTGGGAGTTTTGGGGCAAGAAAGACATTTTCCTTAAGCAGCAGAGGTGGAGCCTTAGGGACATGTCAAGGATGGAGAGGAGCCAAGATTCCTCTTTGCAAATGAGGGGAGGGTGTTAAAAAACCTGCCCACCCCCTGCCCAGTGCAGAGGCTACCACCTGGACCCCGTGGTTCCTGTTGCTCCTGGGGAGAGGACAAACTCCAGGGACCCTAGCTGGTGATCCTCTGAGAATAAGCCTTTGGACTGGGTCCCAAAGGCCCTGGAAGGCTCCTTCACACGTCCTAAATCCTGGGACTCCCAGTGACATAGGGGCACAGGGGATCCCACTCTTGCCCTAGGGTAGAGACTCCTCCGGACTCTTTGGGGAACAGAGTGGGTACAAGCCAGCAAAGGGTGAGGCCCATGGCTGACTTGTTGCAGGCACAGGAGTAGGGAGCCCGTAGAGGGGGTATGGGGGAGTTGACAGAGACAGGGTGAGGATCGGGTCCTGCCAGGCCCACTGATGTCCCCACTCCCCACTGGAGGACCGTGGACACACACAGGCAGGGACCTGACGGGCACTGGGCTGCATCCAGCCTTGCCTCTCGTGGGCTTCTCCTTGACCCAGGCCTCGGTGGGCAGTGGCCCCACAGCCACAAAGCCATCCAGGTCAACATCCAGGGAAGAAAGCAGGACAAGCAGGAGAGTCACGGGGTGTGGGGCAGAGGATGGGAAGTAGGGGAGAAGCAGCAGGGCAGTGTGTCCCCTCCATGCCCACGGGTCACCCAGGGCAGGGCCACAGGCAGGTATGGGGCCCCCACACCCTCCAGCCCCCAAGACTGAGGACAGGAGTGCAGGTTGCTGATGTAGCCCGACAACAGGGCCAGCCGCTGTCACAAATACTTGTGAATTAGGTATTTAATAATTAAAGCAGGCACAGCCAGAATCAAGGGCATGAGAAGGGCTAAGAGGAAGAAGCGAACCCAAAGTTAACAAGAAGTGGTGAGAAAAGAGGGAACAGAGAAAGTGGGGGTGGGGCTGAACATCTGAGTTTCCAATTAGCCTTTGGTGGCAACACTTTGGGGAACGTGACAGTGACAATGAGCGTGGTGCGGCTAGAAAAGGAGCCAATGGGATAGTAAGCAAAATGTGTCTTGTAAACATAATGATTCGTTTTTAACATTTTAAAAGATCTCTTATTTTAGGTCCAACGGAGAAAAGCCTTTTTGATAGTGTCTTCCACATGAAGGCAGCAGGGGCATGAGGACAGAATGCAGAAAATCCACAGGATTAACTCAGCCAGCACCTGAATCTGGGGCATCTGCCTCCGTCTCCCCACATGGACCTCAGTTTAACTCAGAGCGGCCAGGCCTCCTCTGTGGGGCACAGTCCCAACCGGGCCTCGGTCCCACCCTGAGACCAAGCCTGCTTTCCCACGTCCTATGGCCTTTGGGTGTCGGGGGTCCCCGGGGGGCAGCCCCTAGCAGTCCCTTGCTCTGGACCGGCCCCCTGAAAACACCTGTGCACTAGCCTCCTGGTCCCTGCCCCTCCGCACACAGCTATCTAGCTGGATCTTTCCTCTTCCAGACGCTGGTGTCTCCTCATGTGGCCATCGGCTTCCGCCCGTATTGCCAGTCCATGGGTACCTCCCTCACCCTCACCTGATCCCCCTGCTGGGCGCAAGGGCACCCTCCCCAGTCACAGCCCCCAAAATATGTGCCTATTTCCTGAGCCAAACCCAATTGCTCTGACCATGCCCATCCGGGCCCCAGGTCACGCTGACTTCAAGGTCGACCCTGCTGGTCTTGCTCTGATTTCCATGCCCCAAAGTGCCTCCTGATACATCAGGGAGCTCCTTCTAGAACCTGGTGTCCCAGCCTGCCCTTCCCCACTGTGTGCCCTCTCCAGGGACCTGCTTGGAGCCTCACCACCCAATAAAAATTCACGCACACAAATTAGGTCAGACTTGCCTGGGTAGAAGGAAAACCCAGTACCCGAGCTTCATCCGTTCTGCCATTTGTAAAGGCCTGGGGAGCCTGGCCCACCTCCTCCTTAACCCTCGCCGGCTCACCCTCCAGACAGCATCCACAATCCCCTCCTGTATTTGCAGCACCCCGATCCTCATCTGCTGGCTTCTCTCTCTCTCCTTTCCCATCTGACTGCTTCCCCCTTTACGTTTCTCAGCTGGAAGTTTCCTGACCTTGCTGAATAGCCAAACACCCTCTCAGGTGCTTTCCCGGCAGAGCTTCCTGAGCCTTAATCCAGAGTGGGCAATGGGGAGACATCCAGGACCAGGACAGAGTGTGTCCCCAGTCCCGTGCCCAGAGGGACCAGGAAAGGAACATGGGACCAGCTGACCACACCAGGCCCCAAGCCTCCGGCAACCTGCTCCTCACCCGTGAGTCCAGGGAAACTGTGCTGACCACCTGGATGTCCCAGGCCCGTCAGCCCGGCAGGTGAGCCCCGCAGACACCTCCCCTCAACCCTCCAGGACCCAGGTTCCCAGCTGTGCACGGGAGGGCAGGACGCCCCCATCGCTAAGGTCAGCTGATGGCTGTCTGCCCCCTTTGGTCTGTCCACCCTCCTGCACGAAGCCCCCAGTCAGAGGAGGATGGTGGCCTCATGGAGAGTGCAAGGCGGGGGGGGATGTTTGAACTTCATGTGGGGCTCTGCTCCCAAGTTTCCAACAATTTAAGGAATGTTGGAGGCCAGGGGTCAGAATGTAAACAAGGCTTCTCACAGCATCAGTAAGCTGCAGGGTGTCCCTGATGCCTCAGACGACCGACCACGTGTGTGCCTTTTTTGTCTCAGGAAAACACAGCAGCTTGGCTCTTACAAATGTGAAATTTGTGTCTTAAGCCAACAACTTTCAAGTTCCAGAAAAATTGCCTATTCATCATTTTTCTCATTGTGTTTCTCCTCTCCTTATGAGTGTAGCTTGGATGACATGGACCACCTCTGCTTCACAGCCTTGGTTGTCTGAGGGTCAACGACACCGCCGTGACTTGCTTCTCTGCCCCGGACAGAGGGTCAGCAGCTCCAGCCCCAGGGCAGGCAAGACTGGTGTCTGCCTCAGCCCAGAGGCAGAGAGAGAGCCCAGCTCGGGGCTTGAACTCCCCACCCTGAGACAGAGACCTGAGCTGAGATCAAGAGTCAGATGCCTAACCAACGGAGCCACCCAGGCGCCCCTGGACTGCTTCCACTTTTTTTTTTTTTTTTTTTAGCATACTTACCTATTCTTCATAGAAAAGCCTGACACCGGAAGGGAGCAATGCCAAGCCTGAGGGCTGATCGTGAAAGCTGAGTACGCGTGGGGCAGCTTGTCAAGGCTGCAGGTCCCAACGCTGCCCAGAACGTCGTTGCCCAGGCCATGGGCAGAGACCACGGTGACCATCTTGTGTTACCTCCTGGCTGCAGCTGTCCCCACCTGCCCTTCTCAAGGAAACCCTCCCTAGGTGGAGGGGCGTGGGGTTGGGGCTTCAGAGGCTGTATCAGCCCGTCTGGGGTGGAGCCACCTGCACCTTTACTGGAGAAACTGCCCCGAATCACAGAGCTGGGTTTGATGACAGAGAAGAAAGGGAGTAGAGTGGATTCTAGGACAAGGGTAATGGCTCCAGGGGAGAGGAGCACTTAGGGTAGAGGTCTGCTGAGGAGGACTCCATCCCTGTCCTTCAGGGAGGGTGTTCCGGTGTGTCTGACCGCTCATGCCTGCACTTTTGGGCAGCGCTCTGTGCAGGGGCCCATGTCAGAGTGGAGGCCTGACTTCCTGTGCAAGCCCCCGGGGTGAGGCCACAGCGTCTCAGTGCGAAAGGCGCCCTCCCAGGGAGGAAGGACTGAGCCGGCACCCTGTTGAGGGTGGCTGGACAGCCCACAGGCCACATCTGTCCTTGTGTGAGGGACACGGGGGAAGCTCGGCCTTGTCCCCCTGGGAGGAGAGCAGCCACACGAGCTGAGAGGGGAATGAGGCACTCCCTGCCCTGCTGGGGTCCTGGAGCCCAGAGCAGGTGGGACCCAGGGAAGGTAAGGGAACCAGACTGGCCCCCACGCACAGCTGACCCCACCTGGGCCCCCCCAGAAGGCGCTCCTGGGCTGCAGTGGGGCTCCAGGAGGACAGGACCTGGACGGCTGGGATCAGTAGCCCCTCTGGGAGCATCACTTCAGCTTTGTGGGGCTCTGAGCGAGACTCTGGATGGAATGTAACAGCAGGTAAGAGCCCCAGATACTCCCAAAGCAGCTCTCCAAAGTCAGGGTACCTAAGAGCTCTGCTCCTGCCTCTTTCTGTCTCAGTCCTGCTCTAGATGTCAGGTGATCCTGATTCTTATCTGTGAGGTTTTGTCTGGATCCATGACGTAATCCGTGCACAGCAACAGCGCCAAACCTAGTGGTCAAGATGCTTCAGCCTGCAGACTACAGCTTTTACTTTTTCATAGTTTATTATAATTAATTTACAAAGTTAATAGAAAACACTATATGAGGGGCGCCTGGGTGGCTCAGTGGTTGGGCGTCTGCCTTCAGCTCAGGTCATGATCCCGGGGTCCTGGGATCGAGCCCCGCGTCGGGCTCCCTGCTCCGCGGGAAGCCTGCTTCTCCCTCTCCCGCTCCCCCTGCTGTGTTCCCTCTCTCTCTGTCTCTCTCTCTGTCTCTGTCAAATAAATAAATAAAATCTTTAAAAGAGAAACAAAACCCTATATGAGACATTGAGTAGGTGGTGTGGAAACCAGGGATCTGGATGGGGGTTGAGGGATGGACACAAGACCAGTCTCCAGTCTCTGAGTCTGGGACGCTCGCCTGAGGAGCCAGCAAGCCTGCAGCGACATGACACCCTGGCTGTGCTCGGACAGCAACTGGCATGCAAGCCGGAACCTGTGGGTAGCCAGCCTCCTCCCCTGTTCATACCTTCTTCTCCAGCCTCTGGAAGAGGCTCTGACCACCACTGCTCCAGGCTCACTTCCCCGTCCAGCAGGTTGGTCCCAAGCCCAACACTGCCCAGATCACCCATCTATCCCAGAGCCCCACCCCTGCCTGGGACCCTCCCCTCTACCCCAGGGCCCCACCCCTACCTGGGACCCTCCCCTCTACCACACAACTTCCTGGGGCCTGTCTGCATGGGGTAGAGGTGGGAGCGTATTTTGAACCCAGGCTCTGGGTAATAGTGTTTGTTGACTGAGTGGACAAGACCACCACAGGCAGCCCAGTTCCTTGGGACCCTCAGGAGGAGCAGTGAGGTCCAGGTAGAGGGGAGTGAAGTTCTCCAGTCACATCAGAGGAGGGAGGAGAGAGTGATTCCAGAATAGCGTCTGTGAGGCATTAGGGCCCTTCAGCATCCCAGACTAATCTCTTGCATTTGTTGGGCTCTGCCTCGACATTCTTAGGGGGTAAGTCATCCAACAGAACATCAGTCACCAGGAAAAGTGCACCCTTGCTCGGGGTAACTACAACTACCCTCCAATTCCCCCTATCAGTCCTTGGCTCTTCAACCACACAAGTAACAGAAGGGAAGCGTGAGTGAGGGATGGGCGGGGTGGGGCTTCCTGCCCCGGGCAGACCCTTCCCCTGCCCAGGCAAATCCCCACTCTGTCATCTGGCCAAAACCCCACCACCACAGATGGAAACTTCCAGATCTTAAGCTTGGTGTTTTCCTTTTGAAGGAATTGTTATCACCCATTACCATGCACGTGGTGTTTTGAGTATGACTGAGTTCTAACTCCCTGATAACATAAAACTGAGACAAGATCAGTTGTTTTATTAAATGAAGCGCCGTAGCCATCCCTCCAACCTGAGTCACAGTAGCTTCGTGCTTTACACGGGCTGACACAGAGAAGTTACCACATGCCGGCATCACTGTTCTGACAGAAATCACGGCACATGTGGGATAGACAGGAGTCTGTGTTTATTAAACTTGTCTTTTCGGGAAGTAACTTATATTGAGTGATGTGTTTCTGGAGAGATATCCTCTCCACGCCGCACGTGCTTGAGTCTCACCCAAGGCTCTGTGGCCTGCAGGCTTCGGTCTCTGCGTCACCCTAGTGACCCGTGCACGGCAGAGTTTCCCGTGAAGGCTTACAGGACCAGCTCTATGAGGAGAGCCTCCACGGACTTACAGCCTTGCTCTCACTGACCCCACATGATCCAGACCCCCAGCCCCCTCAGTGGGCATCCCACAGCCTTGACTAAAGACCACAGGCAAACTTCAGACACCAGGGTGGACGGTTTGCCTGGGTTGCACTGTGAAGAGATGGTGCTTTTGGCCCCCGTGGCACATGTGAGTCCAACAGGGGACATGGGTTTGCCCTGTCCAGGGCCTGGACCTGTGCCCATTCAGGTAGAAGGTGGAGGTGCAGAGAACTGCATGCCCCCCACAGCTGCTGGAGGCCCACATACCTGCTCATCTAACCAATGTCAGAAGCCAGCTGGGGAAACCGGGCAGGGTGGGAGCACTTGTTCACTTTCTAGAGTCCCCTAGCAGAAGACAAACACCCCAAGCAGGAAAAGTGACGAGCCACTAACACATCCAAGAGGTTTGTTGACCATGAGTTGGGGAAAGGGAAGGAGAGAGACCCTGAGAGGCACCAGAAGAAGAGGGACTTTGGAGAGAATGACCAGCCTCGCCTGCTCCACATTTCGCCCAGCATGGGCCCTGGTGAGCAGGGTGTGGGCCGTAGAGGGCGTGGGGAGAACGGGGTGAGGGCTATAGGAGGGCCCCACGGACACTCCCCAGTGCCAGGAGACGGCAGGGCTGTCAGGTGCACACCTCTGGGATATAGCTACATGCAAGGCAGACTCAGAGACGCAAAAGCAGGTACTGACAAAACATGATGCCACAAGCCACCTGATCAAACTGTGTGTGCACGCAGCTCGTATTGAATGAGTATTAGTGATTCATGAACGTTTCTAAAATCCATGATGCCCCTCAACTCACTTGCGGAGCCTTGAGGACCCTGAGAAGCAGGACCAGCTCTGCCTCCGGGTGCTCAGAGCTCAGCTGGGCAGATAAGGACACAAAATGTTCACTGCAGTTCATGACAGACGCTTGAGAAGGCAGAGTGGGCTGCCCAGAGGGTCAGGAAGGTCTCAGGTAGAGTGACACCTGAGCAGGTGACATGTGCTCCCAGGTAAGCAACAGCAGGACATTCCCAGACAGGGAAGAGGCAAGGAGCACCCCCATTTCTGCCAAGCATTTGGCACTGGGGAGGAGTGGGGAAGGCCCAGGAACTTCATCTCAGGTCAAAGACTGACCTAGCAAAACTCTAACCAAAAACTTGTTCCTCACCAAGATGAGTATCTTGGCCGGTGGTGCCACATGGTGTCCCTGTGAGCCCCAGATAACGTGGTAGCTCTCGAGGTTTGAGCACATAGATAAGCCTTGGACATCTCGTCCTCTAGACGTTCCTGCTCAGCTCGCCCCAGGGAGGAAGAGGGGACACTGACAGGTGGTCCCAGAGGTGGCAATAGTGGGCAGAACCACCTGGCAACAGATCTTGGGGAGATACCAGCTCTCCAGACCTCGATGCACCAATCTGCAGAGTGGGGATGTGACAGGCACAAGGGGCCCACATCCCAGCACATGCCTTGCCAGATGCATGGGACAGATCCCAGTCCAGAACACACCTACACACAGGATACTGGGGCACGGGAAAGGTGCCACCCAGAGCATGGTGAAAAACCACACTATAAATAGACAGCATTCAAAAGACCAGGCGACCACCGTAGATTAGGCACATACCTCACCAGACACTAGCATGATCCTAAAAGGGTTGGAAATGTAAAGAGTAAGGAGCAAGACCCTAATAGCCCTGGAAGAAAATACAGGAAAGCCTTTTACAGCCACAAAATCCAGAGACCATAAAAGAAAAGACTAAAGTTTCCCCTTAAAAACTCATAGCCAAACAACTAGCACACAGAGTGAAAAGACTACTCACCCCACAGCTGAAGGGCTGGTCCTTACACATGAGCTCTGGTCCACCAGTGAACAAACAAGCTACCAAAGAAGAAATGCATGTGCCCTTGACCATAGGAAAGGCTTAAACGCATTCAGAAAAAGAGAGATGAGGGTGCCTGGGTGGCTCAGTTGTTGGGCGTCTGCCTTCCGCTCAGGTCATGATCCCAGGGTCCTGGGATCGAGCCCCGCATCGGGCTCCCTGCTCAGCGGGAAGCCTGCTTCTCCCTCTCCCTCTCCCCCTGCTTGTGTTCCCTCTCTCGCTGTGTCTCTCTCTGTCAAATCAATAAAAAAAATCTTTAAAAGAGAGAGAGAGAGAGATGAGCACCAAACCTACACCGAGAAACTGTTATTTTTCCTATATCTGATTAGCAAAAGCCAAGGGTTGGGCAATGCTCTGCTGGGCAGGGCGGGGGCACCCGCACTCGCAGATGATGGCCACAGAAAGTGGCATGAAC